AAATAATAGTCACACGGTGCTAAATCTGGAGAATAGGGTGGATGGGGTAGAATTTCGTAGTGCAATTCACACAATTTCGACATGGCGACAACGCTCTTGTGAGCGGGAGCATTGTCCTGGTGAAACAAAACTTTTTTCTTCGCCATGTGAGGCCTTTTTTTCTTCAGCTCCGAATCAAATCGTCCCAAGAGATTGGAATAGTATTCCCCCGTAATTGTTCTGCCTTTTTCCAGATAATCCACATGAATTACACCTCGGGCATCCCAGAAAACCGTTGCCATCACCTTGTTGGCCGACAAACCGATCTTTGCCTTTTTCGGTGCCGTTTCTCCAGTTGAAATCCATTGCTTTGACTGTTCCTTACTCTCTGGTGTATGGTGATGAATCCAGGTTTCGTCAACAGTCACAAAACGGCGAAAAAATTCGATTTTGTTTGCGTTAAGCAATGCCAAACTCTCCTTCGCAATGTGCAAGCGGTTGCGTTTATTTTCCATTGTGAGCAATCGCGGCACCCACCTTGACGAAAGCTTACTCATGTGTAAAAATTCGTGTAAAATGTGTCCAACGCGTTCCCGAGAAATGTTTAGAGCATTTGCAATCTCTCGCAGCTTGATTCGGCGATCATCCAGTATCATTCCATGGACTTTATCCACAATTTCTGGTGTTGTCACCTCTCTGGGACGACCCGGGCGGTCATCGTCAAAAATGCTTGTCCGCCCGCGTTTAAATTCAGCAGTCCAATATTTTATTGTTGAAAACGATGGAGCTGAATCCTTATAAACTTTGTCCAACTCATTTTTAATATCTTCGTTGGATTTCTCTTTTAAAAACAGAAATCTTATGACAGCACGATATTCGATTTTGTTCATGTTGACGACAATGCAAAAGTGAATGCGCTAAAAGTCCCGCCAAAATTACCAGTGTTGATAAAACCGCATGAAACTTTCACAGTAATCAGCTGATAGAAAACACTAATCGAATAAAATATTTATGAATTTTTAAAAAATTTTTTTCTTTGTTAGGCCGACTTTTTATCAGCCCACCCTCGTATTGATACTACGTGACATTATTTTCAATTTAAGTTATTTTTTTGTGGTTCTCATTAGAAAAATATTTATAACAGTGTATTGTTCGAACAAAAAGTTAATTATTGTATTAAATTGAAAATGATATATTTTTGATTAAATACAATATTTTATTAAGTCATTCGAAAATTATTAAATATTTGTCGTCGTTGTCTGATTAGAAAATTTATTTTCGGCCATTAATTTGTTCTTGTTAAAATTAATTAATTAACACAAAATGAGCCTAGAAACAAAAATAAATCAGTTCTGGAAGAGCTGAAAAGCAAATCCATTGTCGGGTCAGTAACATTCGCCGACTAGAGCAAGGATCGATTCCGATTTTAGAGGCAGAATAAAAATGTCACTCGAGAACTTAAATGCTTCAATAAATAAGGCAAATCAATTACAAGGACAGATAGAAGACATAGATAGTGGTGATGAATTTGGCGACGAGTTGGAAGATCTGAGTATCGTAACCAAGGCAAAGATAATGTCGCTGTTATATGCCCTGAAGACAGCGAGCACCAGCGAAACTCCTTCATCAGCCTGTTCGAAACTTTGGTTCTTAACCACCTTATTTCATGCCTCTCTGGTGAAGCTTTAGGAACAATTAAAGCTTACCAAATCACCGAGAGCAATTGCACTGGTCAGTTTAAAAAAGGTATACGATAACGAATGCCTAATTTTATGAATAATATTTCAACATTGTTTAGTCTTCAGAAGGGTGGTAAGGGTGCGCCAATCCAAGGCAAAGTCAGCAGGGCAACTGTCGATGAATATTGGCTCTAATGGAGCACCAAGTCGACTCGCAGGTGAATATCGGTTTGATAGACACCACCTTCTCCTCAGAGAAGGTCCTCCGCGCGGTGCCTCCTGGAAAGTCAGGCGTGTAAAGCGACCCGTGCCCACTGACTATAAGGTTTGCAGCTGAGGGGTTAAACCAGCTGTGTTCGAACGGAGCCTTCCCAGGGCTTAGGGGCGAAGCCACGGTCAACCTTCCTTCAATGCCCCAAACCCCTCGGTCCCGCCGTGCTCACTCTGCCGAGCAACGCGGGCGTTTATGAAATATGAGTTCAACCAAAAAATCCGCTTCGGACCTCGTGGGGGAGGTAAAACCCCAACACATCGACGGAAAGCGAACTGGACGAGGAGGAGCTACTGCGCTCAGTCGATGAGACTTTAGCTCCGTCCAATACAGAGGGAAGTGCTAAGAAAGGCACACCTCAAGCGACACAACCAAAGCAAAGTAAAGCTGCGGCAAGCCAAGCTAAAGCGACCGGCGGACACGGAAAGGCAAAGCCGTTGACCCACCAGCAACGAAAGGCGCAGGCAAGCAAGGCCCATTTCATCCTCGCCAAAATCGCGAGGAATGAAAAGGAGGGCAAAGCCGACCCGCGTGACAAAGCCAGATTTCTTGCAGTGATCGAGGAATACGAGCGCTATCGTAAGGAGCATCCAGAGACGTCTTTGCCTCCCCAAGCAAAGCGCAACCGCTCACAAGAGGTGAGCGAGAGCGCTCCGAAGAGAGCCAAGGACGCAAAGGGAGCACCGAGACCGACCACTTTCGTCAAACCGGCGAAGAAGTTCAGCGAGGTGGGCCGAGACAGCCTCGCAATGGCACTTGTCGATGAGCTCAACGACGATGGGCGCCTTCTGATGGAGGAATGGGAGGAGTTCGAGAACCAGTTGGCGGAGATGGTAACTGACAAAATACTGTCCTAGCCAACGGGTCAGTCACCGTCCTTTGACTCCTCGAAAATGGTTAGGGGGCACCGGGCAATCAGGTGCGACGATGAGCTCTCGCGGGACTTCCTGGCGGATTGCGTTGCCAGACTAGGCAACGCATGGAGGGGGATAAGCATAAAGCTGGTCCCCGCCAAGGACATCCCAAGGAGACCCAGAGCTCGCATTTGGTTACCCAAGTGGCTGTCTAGCCATGAAAGGGTGCTCAAGACTCTGCAAGCAATGAACAAGGGAGTCGATATGGAGGACTGGGCCATCCTCAAAGCGGAACGGGAGATGAAGTCCAGCCAGCCATACCTGTTCCTGATAAACCAGCGCTGCCTAGAACAGCTGAAGGCAGCAGACATTAAAGTCCGGTACGGCATTAGGAAAGCCAAGGTAAAGGTCTTCCTAGACGAACCGGACGATATTCTGAAAGACGAAGTCGAGGACGCCAACAAGCTGATGGACGACTTGGCAATCGACGACAGCACCCCTAACATCACCCCGATCTAATGCCGACTGTCGTTCAGATCAACTTAAAGCGCAGCTCCCACGCTTCAGCTAATCTGGGTGTCCTTCTCCGGGAGAAGGACATCGACATCGGCCTCATACAAGAGCCATGGACAAGGCACAGGCAAATCTCTGGCATTATACAACATTATACACAAACTCGATAGGTAGGCCGAGGGCGGGTATAATCAATAAAAACAACCCTAATACACTTCTCTACCCCAATCTCAGCAACTTAGATCTAGCAGTGGCAAGATTCAAGGTGGCGGATGGGACAGCCATACTAATAGCCTCTGGATATATGGCCCATGACGAACCAGCACCACCTGAAGCTTTCAATAGGGTGATGCAGTGGGCCGAGGAGACTAAGACGACGCTCATTCTCGGGTGTGACGCCAACGCAAGGCACACACTGTGGGGAAGTAAGGAGACAAACGAAAGGGGTGAGTCTCTCTTCAATAGTATTATATGTTAGATGGTATAGAATTAGAGATATCACAGCATGCAAAGTATCTGGGAGTGATACTGGATGCGAAACTTTCATGGAAACAGAACATCAACGAAAGAATCAAGAAAGCAAGCATAGCATTCTATTCCTGTAGAAAGATGTTCGGAAAGAACTGGGGCATCCACCCCAGGATAATAATATAGCTTTACACAGCCGTTGTAAGATCCATACTCACATACGGAGCACTGGTATGGTGGCCAGCATTAACTAGGGCATACAACGTCCATAAACACACAAGGATACAGAGATCGGCATGCGCAGGAGCCACGGGAGCACTAAGATCATGCCCCGCAGCGGCACTAAATGCCATTCTGAACATAATACCGATAGAGCATTACATCAGGAACACTGCAGCAGAAAGTGCGTTACGACTAAAGGCTAGTCAAAGCTGGAAAGACTACCACACCGGGCACTGCAGGATTCTGAACGAGATAAACTATCAGACGACAGAAGACACAGACTACATGATAACCGAACTGCGATTCGGTAACACATACATCACTATATACCCTACAAGGGAATACTGGAAGAGAGGGAGAGTAACCGAACCGGATGAGGTATCACTCTACACCAGTAGTCGGCACGTCCCAAGCCCATGGGATAGGCAAAGGCTCTGCCGGCAGCGCTGCCAGCACACGGATAGCGTAAACTTCACACACACGGAACACACTCACGTCATTTTTGCTTCGTACCTCACTCACACAAATGCGCTTTTTGGTTGATTGTGATGGTGCCGAGCACTGCTCTACACCGACAGCTCAAAGATGAGCGGCGAGGTAGTGGCCGGAATCTACGCCGAGAGCTGTAAGGTGGAGGAAAATTACCACCTCCCAGAGTCAGCGATAGTTTTCCAGATGAAGGCTCTCGCGATATTGTAAGCTGCCGAACTTTCGCTAGATCGAGGCCTCCGGAATACCACGGTGAGGATACACTTAGATAGCCAGGCGGCGATCAAATCCCTCGCACAAGCACGGACGACGTAAAAACTAGTGGCCGAATATAAAAAGCCACTAAACAGACTCGCAGAAGACAACAGGGTACAAATAGCCTGGGTACCCGGACACAATGACATAGTCGGAAACGAGAAAGCCGACGAGCTGGCCAGAAAAGGGTCAGAAGAACACTCAGTAACAACAGATATCCAGATACTGTCCTAGCCAACGGGTCAGTCACCGTCCTTTGACTCCTCGAAAATGGTTAGGGGGCACCGGGCAATTAGGTGCGACGATGAGCTCTCGCGGGACTTCCTGGCGGATTGCGTTGCCAGACTAGGCAACGCATGGAGGGGGATAAGCATAAAGCTGGTCCCCGCCAAGGACATCCCAAGGAGACCAAGAGCTCGCATTTGGTTACCCAAGTGGCTGTCTAGCCATGAAAGGGTGCTCAAGACTCTGCAAGCAATGAACAAGGGAGTCGATATGGAGGACTGGGCCATCCTCAAAGCGGAACGGGAGATGAAGTCCAGCCAGCCATACCTGTTCCTGATAAACCAGCGCTGCCTAGAACAGCTGAAGGCAGCAGACATTAAAGTCCGGTACGGCATTAGGAAAGCCAAGGTAAAGGTCTTCCTAGACGAACCGGACGATATTCTGAAAGACGAAGTCGAGGACGCCAACAAGCTGATGGACGACTTGGCAATCGACGACAGCACCCCTAACATCACCCCGATCTAATGCCGACTGTCGTTCAGATCAACTTAAAGCGCAGCTCCCACGCTTCAGCTAATCTGGGTGTCCTTCTCCGGGAGAAGGACATCGACATCGGCCTCATACAAGAGCCATGGACAAGGCACGGGCAAATCTCTGGCATTATACAACATTATACACAAACTCGATAGGTAGGCCGAGGGCGGGTATAATCAATAAAAACAACCCTAATACACTTCTCTACCCCAATCTCAGCAACTTAGATCTAGCAGTGGCAAGATTCAAGGTGGCGGATGGGACAGCCATACTAATAGCCTCTGGATATATGGCCCATGACGAACCAGCACCACCTGAAGCTTTCAATAGGGTGATGCAGTGGGCCGAGGAGACTAAGACGACGCTCATTCTCGGGTGTGACGCCAACGCAAGGCACACACTGTGGGGAAGTAAGGAGACAAACGAAAGGGGTGAGTCTCTCTTCAATAGTATTATATGTTAGATGGTATAGAATTAGAGATATCACAGCATGCAAAGTATCTGGGAGTGATACTGGATGCGAAACTTTCATGGAAACAGAACATCAACGAAAGAATCAAGAAAGCAAGCATAGCATTCTATTCCTGTAGAAAGATGTTCGGAAAGAACTGGGGCATCCACCCCAGGATAATAATATAGCTTTACACAGCCGTTGTAAGATCCATACTCACATACGGAGCACTGGTATGGTGGCCAGCATTAACTAGGGCATACAACGTCCAGAAACTCACAAGGATACAGAGATCGGCATGCGCAGGAGCCACGGGAGCACTAAGATCATGCCCCGCAGCGGCACTAAATGCCATTCTGAACATAATACCGATAGAGCATTACATCAGGAACACTGCAGCAGAAAGTGCGTTACGACTAAAGGCTAGTCAAAGCTGGAAAGACTACCACACCGGGCACTGCAGGATTCTGAACGAGATAAACTATCAGACGACAGAAGACACAGACTACATGATAACCGAACTGCGATTCGGTAGCACATACATCACTATATACCCTACAAGGGAATACTGGAAGAGAGGGAGAGTAACCGAACCGGATGAGGTATCACTCTACACCGACAGCTCAAAGATGAGCGGCGAGGTAGTGGCCGGAATCTACGCCGAGAGCTGTAAGGTGGAGGAAAATTACCACCTCCCAGAGTCAGCGATAGTTTTCCAGATGAAGGCTCTCGCGATATTGTAAGCTGCCGAACTTTCGCTAGATCGAGGCCTCCGGAATACCACGGTGAGGATACACTTAGATAGCCAGGCGGCGATCAAATCCCTCGCACAAGCACGGACGACGTAAAAACTAGTGGCCGAATATAAAAAGCCACTAAACAGACTCGCAGAAGACAACAGGGTACAAATAGCCTGGGTACCCGGACACAATGACATAGTCGGAAACGAGAAAGCCGACGAGCTGGCCAGAAAAGGGTCAGAAGAACACTCAGTAACAACAGATATCCAGATCTCCCTGAACTCGGTCCAGACGGAAATTCATGACCATTTCAAACAAATAGCCAGCAAGGAATGGTCGACGAAGGCACAGAAGATCGAAATTATGCTGGCCAGAATTCAATAGGAAACGAACCGCAGAACTGATCTCCAAGAGCAATAAGGACATCAGGAGGGACACGGCAACCATCACCGGCCACTGGCCAATAGGCACGCAAGCCTGTAAGATGGGTCTACCCTACAACCCACAATGCAGAAGCTGCAAGGAACCAAGCGAGCAGGAGACACCAGAGCATCTGCTGTGCCACTGCCCGGCACTCAGCCCGATACTTCGGAGCACACCAACTCGAGTCACTAGGGGAAGTTGGAAGGCAGCCAGTAGCTGCCAACCTAGCTTACCTGAATGACACGGGCTGGTACTAAGTAGGGCGCAGACAACAGTAAATCGAGGGCGTGGATCAAAGCGGAGCTCAGCTCTAATTGGAGGCGGCCAGGGCGTCTTCACCACTTTTACCTGCCTACCTACCTTAGTCTTCAGAAAATATCGCATCAGTCCGAATCCACCTTAGGAAACCGTATCGATACTGTTTCATCGATTTACGGTACTCTGTTATCGATAGGAGATGATCAAAAAATTTAGAATGCAATGTTGATTTATTTGGTACTAAATCGAGTCGACTCAGTGACCAAACAAAAATGGGAGGAACAGCTCGATTATAAGACTTTGTGTCTTTTTTTCGAGCATGCGACCGCTCACACCACATTCTACTCCATAGATATACAGTGCCTGATAACAGTTTAGCGTTGCCACCACCCCAAGAGAGTATGTCTCCTCCTTTTAACCAAGATCAGCCTTCCACGTCACATGTTATGCATGCCACGTCATTGGATATGTTAATTCATTAATTCATTTTTCGAATTGTAAGCTTTTGGTCAAATTAGACAAGGTCCTTACTATCCAACTCTTCAAAAGACCCTTCTTGGTTGGGCTGTCTCGGCCAGATACAAATCGTCTGTTCCGAAACAAGTGGTGAATAGTTTTAGTTGTAGTGAAAAACCGTTAGTATCGTTTGATAGCACACTACAAAAGTTATGGTCACTCGAAAAAAGGCCATCCCCAAAGAAAATTCTATCGCCTGAGCATAAGTTATGTAAACACAGGAAAAATACTCAGGTTTTTGCCATCAGGTCGGTTTGAAATTGGGCTGCCGTTCAAGTCTGATCCAAATGGGTTAGCCAACTACTTTGAGGTTGCAAAACGGCGGTTTTTGTCGCTTGAGCGAAGGTTGTCTCAAGATCCTAACATGAAGGTACTTCGAACTCATGGAAGAATATCTCGCCTTAGGTCATATGTCGCCTACAGACAACGTGTTCTAAGGTCCTGTCTCAGGTGGCTTTAAATAACATCCTGATGGTTGGGCCGACAATTCAAGAAGAGTGGTTCTCCATTCTACTCCGCTTCCGGCTGCTCAGGTATGCCCTGACTGCCGATGTAAAGGAGATGCAGTTTCAAATTATAGTGTGGAGAAGAGACATCTCTGAATCCTTGAGATTATACAAGCTCAACACCGTAACATATATTACTGGACCAGCCCCCTTTCTTGCTATTTGGTGATTGAAAAGGTTTAGTGAATCTGCGAAACTTTCATTCCCTAGAGCTGCAAAAGTAATTGTATCCGAATTTTACGTCGAGGACATGCTAACTGGTGCTGCATGCGTAGAGTTAGCTCCTCAATCAAGTCTAAAGTGTCTCAGGTTCTTCAAACAGTGGTTTTTAAACTCACCTCACGACACTGTATCTCGGACTCAGAGTCAACTAAGGCGTTAGGAATACCTAAGGCATTAGGAAAATAACTTCAAGATCAAATTGACACTTCTGTCATGGGGTTCCGAGCGACAAAACGGAACATACTATCAGCGACATCGAAGCTGTTTGACCCCCTCGGCTTATTAAGTCCCATTGTTATTAAAGGAAAACTCCTATTGCAGGAACTTTGGCTTAATAAGCTAGATGGATGAGTCGATTCCGTTGCATTTGAAAACCGCATGGAATGTGATAAAAAGCACCCTGTCTCAAATTGATGAGATATCTATTCCTCGGTTCGTGCTTACTGACCCGAGGTCACCGCGACGAGCTTCGTCGGAGCTAGTCGCCACTTCCAGGCTCTTAGCGAACGGATCGAGGAGCAAGCAGAAGTGATTCACGAATTCGCTTCAAGAAACGAATGCCTTTTTGCTTTCACACCCCCTCCGGCTCCGCACATTGGCGGAATATGGGAGGCAGGTGTCAAAACTGGCAAGCACCTACTCTGAAGGTTATGATGGATGTGCTTACTAAGTATCGAGTTTTTGATGACACACGTTGTTATATGTACTCGGTGGAATGGCAGAAGCGTGGACTACCGCATGCTCATATCTTAATTTGGTTGCTGAACAAATTACATTCAAATGAAGTTGATCATCATCATCAGCTGAAATTCCTGATCCAGCCACAGACATTGTGACGACACAGATGGTGCATGGACCGTGCGGTGCATTAAATCCATTATCGCCTTGCATGGCTGATGGAAAATGTACAAAACGATATCCGCGACCGTTAGTTGCTGCAATAGTCACAGGGAACGATGGATGTGCAAAGTATCGTCGGCGTTCAAAAGAGGGAAATGGTCGAACTATCATAGTTAAAGTTAAAAATCAAGAGATTGGGATTGGAAACGAATTTATTGTACCATATTGCCCGCTGCTATCACGAATTTTCGAAACACATGCAAATGTTGAGAGTTGTCATTCGGCCAAATCAATCAAATATTTGTGCAAGTACGTAACAAAAGGCAGCGACATGGCTGTGTTTGGTATCGCGTCGGAAAATGCGAATGACGAAATCAGCAACTTCCAAATGGGCAGATACGTCAGTACAAATGAAGCACTGTGGCGATTATTGTCATTTCAAATTCATGAAAGATATACCACAGTTGTACATTTAGCAGTGCATTTTGAAAATTGCCAAAGAGTTTACTTCAGGGACCGTAATCATTATAAGGAATATTTTAAAAATTACTTTGTAATGATTACTTATCGATTTTTAATTTTTTAAATCAAGACTAATAATTATTTTTGAGCAAAAAAAAATAAAAATCACAAATAATCATTATGCTTGAGCAAAAAAAATAAAACTCAAAAATAATGATTATTCGTGATTTTTATTTTTTTGTTCAAAATAAAACTCACCAAGCTAGATCTTTTGATCCTTTAAGGATATTGCCAATATTGTCGTATGTCCTTATAAAGGAACCCTAGAGCAACAATTGACAACAACAACAACAACAAAATGTATTTTACCTGTGTTTGTTGCAATTATTTAATATTAGGTGAGTTTTATTTTGAACAAAAAAAAAATAAAAATCACGAATAATCATTATTTTTGAGTTTTATTTTTTTTGCTCAAGCATAATGATTATTTGTGATTTTTATTTTTTTTGCTCAAAAATAATGTTTAACAATAGAAGAATAAATATAACAATTAAAATTAAAAATCATCAAGGA